AGCAGTGAGTGGTTTAGTGGGCTTGCTTCATGTGGCTTGAAATCTTGAGAAGTGGAAAGGGTATTTGTCTGAGGGTTGGGTGGCTTTTGTTTGTTGTTCTACTTAGCCCATGAATTCACCATTTCTCAGTGCACTTAGTGGGGGTTTTAATAGGAAGAAGTAATAGGATTGTAAGTGTCATACAACAGTGGTGTTAAAAACTATCAGCTTCATGCTCTACTACAAATAAAATCTACTGAAAAGGAAATACCAGTGAAAGGAGCAAGTGTCGTCTCATGTAAAACTTGAGGCCTTGAGCTGTCTTGCATAGAAAAGCTAATAAGCTGATGCCGTACAGTGGTCTTTCTACCTTGTCAGTTGTAAAGAACTTAATTTGTTCTTGGGGGGTTTAATGAAGAAGATTGAGAGTAGCATGAAAAGTTACAGCAGAGATAACTCATTGCTGCTTTGATTTTGGCCCAGATAAAATACTAACTAATAGTATGCAGAGATAAAATACTAATAACTCAGAGTACCAGGGAACTCTTTCATGCTTCATTTCCTGCTTGAACTTTTGAGAGTTTTAAGTTAGGTTGAAACGAATCCTTTGAGCTGCTGAACCTGTTCTGCTCTCTGTAGAATTCCTGTGTGAGCTTGAGGAAGTTGAAGGGCTTCTGGAAAAGCCTGCATAAGAAACCTGTCCTTACTGGGCAATATGAAATAGGTAGAGTCAGAAAGGTAGTCTGTGTAAATTAAAGGTTAATTTTCCATGCAGCAAATGACAGTATCTCTCTGGAGCCTTCCTGCAGATGTTCCACATGGGGTGAATTGGTTTAAATGCAAGCACGTGAAAAATAACATGTAGGCAGTGTGTTCTTGCTGGTTATTTACACTGTTAAAAGTAACTGTGCTCCATAAATGATGATGTGCATCTAGGCTTTAGCATAGTCATTGATTTATATCTAAAGACATATCAGGGAAAAGTAAGTGTTTGGAAAATAAAGAGTTTTCACCTATTCCAATTCCATACCAAATCTTGTTCATAAGGTTACTTTCCTGCACTGCCATCTAGCTCAGGGCTACCAGTAACCGATCTTCCTGCTGCTACTGTCTTTGTGTAGAATTTGGCTTAGATCAAAAGCAACAACCTTCAGACTACAGTTTCTGGGTATCTCTGAGCTTGGTAATGCTGGTGCCTTCAATCAGACTGCTTAAACAAATGGCTGCATTGACCCTGCAGCCCTTACGTGGGGAACCAGCTGGTATGTATGTTGCTCACTTGCTCTGTGCTTGAACAGCATGTCACGCTCCAGCGTATGTATATTTCTGACTGAAAATGGATGGGGTTCTGATCTTCCTACTTCTCTTTGGAAGATGCCTTGTCCATGCTGGAACCTTCCTTACTATTTTGGGCTTACTGGGGCAAGTTAGGGCTTTGTGTTCATGCCAACGGGCTCAAGGATGAGAGCTGAACCCCCTGTTCACGGAGGAATTGGAGCACTGCATGTCTGATCGGTTCCTCCAGGTAGCCTGTTCTGAACAGTGTTAGGAACTTTGGAGCAAGCAAGCAGGGCTTGGCATATGCTTCAGAAACCCCAGCAGACTACAAATGTTGTGTTGGCAGGCAAACTGCAGAGCTCAGGGACAGTTATTGCTATAGATGTGATGGTAGGGAACACAGATCATGCAGTATTTATGTGCCTTGGTGGGATCATAGAATCAAAGAATGGTTTGGGTCGGAAAGGATCTTAAGATCATCCAGCTCCAAGCCCCTGCCACGGGCAGGGACATCTTCCACTAAGACCAGGTTGCTCCAAGCCCCTGTGTCCAACATGGCCTTGAACACTGCCAGGGATGGGGCAGCCACAGCTTCTCTGGGCACCCTGTGCCAGTGCATGGACACCCTCACAGGGAAGAGCTTCTGCCTTATATCCAGCCTGAACTTTCCCTGTTTACGTTTCAACCCATCACCCCTTGTCCTATCGCTACGGTCCCTGGTGAACCGTGGATATATGTAGAAGTGTGTTTGCAGTGTCTGCATAGAGATGGAGACACCTTTTCTTCATGGATTTTTGGAATTCTGGCTGATGCCATATTTGGATAACTAAGTTTTTTTTAGTTCAGATCCATTTCATGGGTTTAGAAATGGATACCATGGTGTTTTTAACTTTGTGGCCTGAAGTGCTGTGCCCTTCTAGTCAGCTGTGGCTTTCTAAACTGGCTTTGGTTATGCTTCACTGAGAACTCCTTTCATAGGAATAGTTGCACTTCCTGTTCCTGTGAAGGTTTCTTGATACCTGTGATGAAGGTCAGATAGAGCTAGGGTCAAGTTAGAGAACTATGAGAAGAATTCTGTTGCAGCACAGGTGTTTTCCCACCCATGTCTGAGAGCTACTCACCCTGAGTTACAAATGTAGTAGAACAACAACGTTTCTGGCATGTTGGAGGTTATTGTTTGTAGCCAGATTTGTTTAGTATTGAATTTTGGATTGAACTATAGTTTGCACATGTTCTAATGTGTCACTGGGTGATCTTTGTTCACCACCACACCCCTACCCCCTGTATATCAGGCATGATTTAGGGATATCAAAGATCAGTGGTCACTTGGAGCACTGTGTGCAGTTCTGGTGTCCCCAGCATAAGCAGGACATGGAGCTGTTGGAGCAAGTCCGGAGGATGCCATAAGGATTATCAGGGACTGGAGCACTTCCCGTATGGAGACAGGCTGAGAAAGTTGGGGCTGTTCAGCCTGGAGAAGAGAAGCTGCGTGGAGACCTCAGAGCAGCTTCCAGTGTCTGAAGGATGCTGGGGAGGGACTCTTCATCAGGGACTGTAGTGATAGGACAAGGGGTGATGGGTTCAAACGTAAACAAGGGAAGTTCAGGCTGGATATAAGGAAGAAGTTTTTCCCTATGAGGGTGCTGAGGCGCTGGCAGAGGTTGCCCAATGAAGTGGGAAATGCTCCATCCCTGGCCGTGGTCCAGG